TCTCAGATATTATTGACAATGTTTCTAATGATATACTCTGGGCATGACCTAGATTAAACATTTGTATATTTCTATTAAACATTTGTTGATAAATTTATAAATTAATCACTTAATTGATTAATTTATAGATTAATTAATTAATTAATTAATTACAAATAGGTAAAATAAATCAATCAAACAAACAAAACTTTGTGTACTTATCGCATATATGCACTTTGGTTCTGTGTACAGTACAGTGTATGCATAATAACCCGAAAGATCACGATATGCTATTATATAGTGCATTATATCGTTACCAGATACACGCACGCATACAAAAGTGTACACATATGCATTGCACACACACACACACACACACACACACACATACATACATACTCGCATACATACATACATACGCACATACACACGCATACATAATAACTAACTAAATAGCGTATTAACCAAAAAACCAACAAGCCAAATAAACAACCAACAATTTTTTAGCTCCGCCCGTTCTTGATGACGTAACATTCACTGCTCGTCACGTGATCACTGGCCAACCAAATTATAATATGCTAATTTTATTCGGCGTGGCGGTGTACGTCATACATATTAGCATTGACCATTTACGTCATACGTCATACATATTCAATTGACCATTTACTCTCTATTATAGATGGATGAATGGATGGATGGACGAACGGACGGACTGACGGACGGATGGATAGATGGATGGATAGATGGATGGATGGAGATGTGGAAGATGTGATCTGGGTTTGCATAGAGAAGACGATGATGATGACGACGATGGTGATATTTTTATTACCACTATAATAATTATTGTTATTATTATTACTAATGTTAGCACAGTGACGATGACGACGACGATGATTACTATTAATTAGACTATGGATTCTCATTGTTTTCGAACCTGGTTCCTACAACACATGAAGCAGGCATTTTTGATCATTCGCTTATAACTTGTTTAACAGATGTGTTTGCCTGAGAATTCATTTCGACAAGTTTCAAGCTAACATTTACTACTATATTTCCGCTACTACTACTATTAATACTACCACCGCTGCTACTACTGCTGCTACTGCTGCTGCTAATACTGCTACTACAACTACTGCTACTATTACAACTACTGCTGCTTACCTCTGCAACTACTGCTACTACAACTACAGCAGCTACTACTACCATTAATACTGCTGGAAGTATCAGTGATAATACTACAATAATGATAATAATGATAACAACAACGATAACAACAATATCAATGATACTAATATTGATATTATTACTCACTTCTACTAAATTTCTAATAGAATTTTTTTCTGTTCTTTTGTTATCTTATTACAATGTAAAAATTTTTCTTTTTCTTCTTCTTCTTTTTCTTCTTAATCTTCTTCTTTTTCTTCTTCTTCTTTTTCTTCTTCTTCTTCTTCTTCTTCTTATTATTATTATTGTTGTTGTTGTTGTTGTTGTTATTATTATTATTATGCTCAATGGCAAGGAGTGAATGAAAAAGCATCAAAAGCATAGCTTGTCCTTCGTGTTATTTGTAAATAATGAAAAAAAGTTTGCAATCTAAGGCACTACTTTGTGTATTTTTTTATATAAAAAGATTTTTTTACAGGTTTGTGCTAGCGGGTTTTATATACTGATTAATCAATTTATTTATTTATGTAAATATTCGTTTTGTTTGCCCATTCGTTCATTCATTTCGTTTGCTTATTTTTTGTTGGGTCGTACGTTCATTCATTCATTCATTCATTCATTCATTCATTCATTCATTCATTCATTCATTCATTCATTCATTCATTCATTCATTCATTCATTCATTTATTCGTTCATTCACTCGTTGACATTTTTTTTTATTAATCTGATGATCAATATAAACATTCAACACTTCATTACGTTTTTGTAATTTATATTTTCAAAACACATTTCCATTGATTAGTCAATCAATCTATCGCACAACCAACGAACCAACCAATTAATCAACCAGTCAATTAATCAATTAATCAACCAACCAACCAATCACACAACCAATCTCACAACCAACCAATCACACAACCAACCAATCAAACAACCAACCAATCAGTCACTCAACATATACTACCGAATTCCAACACGCAGATTACAACAACCCACTGGAAGCTGCAACCACAGCCGAAAAGCGCTACGAAGAAGCCTTGAAAAAAATTGGCCAGATGACAAGCGCAACCCCGAATCGATACTTCACCCTCATTTATCTACTCCTATCAGTTTCAAAGCTGAATGCCAAAGCGCTAGAATTTTTGTTCTTTCACTCTCTTCTGAATGTTCAGGAGGCCCAGGACCTCATTATGACAGCCGAACAGGTCAAAACTTCATCTAGGCGAATGGAAAATTCATCCGAAAATGACAAAAATTCGTTTAATGCAGTAGATAGTTTGGAGGTGTTTGATGATCTTATAAGTAGCTGCAGTCGCTTCATAGACGACGCTTGCCTCTCATACGGCTATAGTAGTGGTAGTAGTAGTAGTAGAAGTCATGGTTGTAGTAGTAGTAGCAATAGTGGTAGTACTAGTAGTGGTGGTTGTATTAGTAGCGGTGGTAACGGTTGTAGCAGCACCGGTAATGGGCGTAGTAATAGTAGTAGTAATGGTTGTGGGAGCAGTAGTAGTAGTAGCGACAGTGTTGATGACGCCATCAGTAGTAGCGATGTTTGTGAAGGCAATAGTAGAAGCAGTAGTAACGGTAGCAGCTGCTTCAGTGGCGCCAACGCCGATGGTAGTGGTGTAGGTGCAAGTGGTGTGGACGAAAAATTTGCAAGTAAACCTGGGGGGTTGTTGTGGCTGTGGGGCTAGAGGGTTTTGCCACGTTCTGATTGATTTGGTTGGTGCTGCTTTTCGGGTGGTGTGATATGGCAAATGATCTGATGATGATAGATATGGTATGATATTATATACCATATGATATCATATAGCGTGTATAATGATGATAATGTCGAAAGTAGCTGTGATAATGGTTGTGACGACGACGACGACGATGATGATGATAAATTTGATGACGAAGCTGCTACTTGTGATGATGAAGGTACTTTTTTCATTCGGGGCAATCTTTTCAACCTGAAAGCATTTCATTGATTAAGCTATTTATTTTCAACTCAATTTCTATGTTATCTTAAGTTATATGTTTTTTTTTCATTTTAATTTTTTTTTTGCGAAATTAAAGACAGAAATATAATTTTTTTCATTTTTACTTTTCGTCCATTCTCCTTTAATTACAATCAATGTTAATTTATCGATGATTAAATAATGTATTTGCTGTTTGAAATTTATTTTGGTATATCACTTGTACTGTTATTTAAAGATTTTTTCTCTCTCTTTCTCTCTCTTCTTTCTCTCTCTTTCTCTCTTTCTCTCTCTCTCTCTTCCTCTCTCTTTCTCTCTCACTTTTTCTCGCTCTTTCGTTTTTTTCTGCTACATTATTGCACTGAATTAATGTCGACATTTTTCACTAATTGAATAATCGTATTGTGGTTGGTTTTTTTTTTATAAAATTAAAAAATTTTGTTTATTCTTTTCTCCTCTCATAAATCCGTCTTCTATCTGTAGTATNTTTTCTCTATTATTTTTCTCTCTCATTTTCATTTTTCAGCTCAATTTATGACTTCCTTTCTCTCTCTCTCTCTCTCTCTCTCTCTCTCTCTCTCTCTCTCTCTCTCTCTCAATCTATGCACCTCTATTTTTTCTATCATTTTTCATTTTTCTTGTTTTCTTCCAGTCTGTCAGTGTCTGTCCGTCTGTCTGTCTATCGGTCCGTGTCACTATCTACACTTTGTCACTTTCTCTTTCTCTCTCTTTCTCTCTCTCTCTCTCTCTCTCTCTCTCTTTCTCTCTCTATGTCGTATTTTCGTTCATGTCTCTCATATAAGAGTTTGTATTTGAAAAGAAGAACATCATATAGCGCTTAACATCTCTTCAGACAAAACAATTATTCATTTGATGTGCTCAATCCTGCTTTATCATTGTTAAAATTCTAAATAATTATGTTATTATTATTATTATTATTAAAATTATTATTATTTATATTATTAATTTGCAGCATTTCATTTAATATTAAATAAGATAAAAAACAATATCTATATTTGAAAAAACTGTCGCCAACTCTCCTGCTAAGCAACTGCTTACCTTAATATTATTAGTTAGTAATAATAATAATTAATAATAATCATTAATTATTGTTTAATTGTTATTAATAAATAATTTATTAGTTAATAATAACAGTAATAATAATTAATAATAATAATCATTAATTATTGTTTAATTGTTATTAATAAATAATTTATTTGGCAGTTTAACAGTTGGACTTTTGTGTTATTTATGATATTTCCTTATGAATGTGTAGCGGTGCGGATTTCGTTTTCAGTAGTGTCCAAATTGACAACAAATCAATCTAAATAACGACATCTATTTTTAAAACATTATAATCGTGTTGTCTTATATAAATCAGTCTGTGTTGTCAAAGTTATTTGTTTTGCCACTATCATTACGCTAATTTACTGTGAGATTAATTTTGTTTGTCGCAACAATAATAGTTATAACAACAATAATAATAACAACAATAATAATTATAATTTTCATAATGATATGTAACTATAGAATGTATTAAATTTAAATTTTTTATTATTATTTGGACAATGTTCTCTATTCGTGTATTCATCTATTTCGTTATAAACGTATGTTCGTTATAACCGATATTATTCGCCTAAAATTAGTTCATCAAATTCCTACGTTCGTTGTAAGCGTTTTGTTTACTGACTTGAAATGACAGTGTAATGAAATGAGTAGGCCTGAAATCATTAATCTAGGCAGTCTATTATTTTTTGTAATTTTGTCTAATATCTATTTAAAATGGCATCTAGTTGCCATATTTTTTTTTTCAAAAACGATTATTCGGTTTGATATAACCGTTTGTTCGTTATATCCGGGAAACGGTTCGTTATATCCGTTTTTTTCATCTTTTATTTTTCAAAGTAATGTTGCAATTTAAAGTAGGCTTATTCATTCCCTTTTTAATTACAATAATAACAATTATAGAAATATTAAGAATAATAATAATTATTGTTAATTATTTTTTATTTATTCAGTTAATTAATTTTTTTAGATATATATCAATTGAATGTTCCTTCTGGTTTACTTTTACCGTATTTAAATCGTGGTTAATTTCAATTATTGTTATAATGCATATATATATATTTATTTGTTCCTTCATTTGTTCATTAAAATGTTCGTTCATTTGTTCGTTTGTTCATTCATTCATTCATTCATTCTTTCTTTCATCTTTCTATAGATCTATTTATTAACTGTTTAACCAACCAATTCATTCATTTGTTCGTTTATTTATCGATTTATCCGTTCATTCATCATTCATTCATTCATTCATTCATTCATTCATTCATTCATTCATTCATTCATTCATTCATTCTTTCATTTAGTCATACATTCATTCATTCATTCATTCATTCATTCTTTCTTTCTTTCATTCTTTCATTCATTCTTTCATATATTTGTTCATCCATTCGTCTATTTATCCACCATTAAATCTCTCCAACCATATCTGATATTATTATGATCAACGAGATGATGTGTTATATGAAATTAGTTTTTAAGATTGATATAAAAGAGTAATAATAATAATAATAAATAATAATAAATAATAATTATTTATTATTATTATTATTATTAAAATTATTGAGGATTTAATAATTAAACCGTGTTTATTAATTTTTTAATCGTTTTAAACTTAGATCTGTACCAGTAACAGGTATGTGTGATTGGGGCTCGTTAAAACGAATGTCTTGCAGTTTAATATGTTCATCATTATTGTTATTTTTATTATTGTTATTATTATTATTATTATTTAATTTGTCATTATTGTATCGTGAAAACAGTTTAGTTACGATACGTCATTCATTCAATTATTTATTTATTTATTTTATATTTATAAGAATGGATTAAAATTCCGGCGTTTTTTAATCTGTTAATGGTGCTAATAAGAAATTTATGCGCTCGTGTGAGTGTCTGTCTGTGTATGTGTTAGTGTGTGTATCTGTGTTTGTGTGTGTGTATGGGTGTGTGTTCATTTTTCTATTTTGCTTAAGTAAATTCATGGTTGTCAGCGTTTTTTTTTTTGTCTTTTTCCACTCTCTTCTACGCTATCTAAATCAGGATTTTGACGGCAAATTTTTTAAACTTTATTGAGATTTGTTGATTGGTTGGTTGTTTGGTTAGTTGTTGATTGGTTGTTTGGTTGTTTGGGGGTTGGTCAGTTGCTGATTGGTTGTTTGGGAGTTGGTCAGTTGCTGATTGGTGGATTTCATGGTTCGTTGATTGATTGGTTGCTGGTCGGTTGGAAGAATGATTGATTGATTAGCAGATAGAGACGGTGATTAGCCAGTTGTTTGTTTCGTTAGTCGGTTGATTGACTGATTGATTGATTGTTTGATCGATTGAACGAACGAACGAATGAAAGGAAGAACGAATGAATGAATGAATTGCTGGACCAAAAATGAAATCAAGTCACAATAACTTCTTATCATTTCATCACAGAATCCCTCCATCGGTACACCAGTTCACGGTTTACTTATTAATTTGGGTTTAAATTG